ATGAAACCTCTTAGCTTCGTTGTTAACATAACCAAGGACGATTTTGCTGTCTGTCCAGAAATGTTCCTTAATGTCCGTGTAAGACAATTCTCGACGAAGAAATTCACTCACGTTTGCTGAAACAGTAGCTGCAGCCAATTCTAGCCTCGGCACAGTGATTTGCTTTAACGGGGCCACTCTAGATTTCCCAATGACAAGGGAACAGTACGCCTTGTCCTCCACATTGATTAGTCGAAGGTACGAGCACTGTCCATAACCCTCTACACTAGCATCTGAGAAATGATGCAACTCGCTGGCTTTGACCTGCCCAAAGTTCTCCGGCTTAAAACAACGTTGAATTTGCAGCTGATCGAGATTCAGAACATCCTGACGCCATTTCTCCCAATGAGTATACAAACTCTCTGGAATTGGGCTGTCCCAATCAAGCTTGTCTCGGCACATTTGCTGCAAAACTTGTTTTCCTTTTCAAGGTAACTGGGGCAACGAAACCACTAGGATCGTAGATTGAACTGATTGTGGAAAGTACGCCACGTCGCGTTGGGGGCGGTCACGCAGCTCGATGCGGAATTGAAAACTGTCATTCTCAATGCACCACACTACTCCTAAGGCACGTTCTAAGGGCAGTGGATCAACCTTCAAGTCTAGCTCCTTTAATCCTTTGGCGCGATCTTCGGCCGGAATCTGTTCAAGAACTTCTTTTTGTTTGATGAAATTTTGTGCAGTCTCAGGCCGGCCTTGGCGCAAATGCCTTGACTTGCTTTTATCAGTGTAACAGCTCGCTCCACGGTGGGGACTGATTTTAGTCCATCATCCACATAAAAGTCCTGTCGTATAAACTCAGCAGCTTCTTCACCAAACTCTTTCTCCCCATCATCTGCTGCTCTCTTTAGACCAAAATTTGCGCAGCCAGGTGAACTACCAGCACCGAAAAGATGAACCTTCATCCTATACTCAGTCACTTCATTTGCAGGATTCCCATCCTTCCACCACAAAAAGCGCAGGAGATCTCTGTGTTCCTCTGACACCATAAACTGATGAAACATACTCTTAATGTCAGTCATAAACGCAACATTTTCTTGTCTGAATCTGCACAGGATCCCCAGAAGAGTGTTCATGAGGTCGGGTCCTTGTAACAAGTGATCGTTCAGGGACACCCCTTCATACTGGGCCGAACAATCAAAAACAACCCTGATCTGGTCTGGTTTTTGGGTGGTAAACACCGGTGTGTGGTACATAGTTAACCATTCCATCCTGAACTCCATGGCGGTCCGGTGGTACCTCTTCTGCACACAAAGCAATCACATCTTTCATGAATAAGCGATAATCTTCCAGAAACTTGGGGTTTCTCTTAAACCTTGCTAAAAGTTGGTGCCATCTCTTGACAGCTAGTTCGCGGTTGAAGGGTAGAGACGGTTTGTCTGTCTTCAAAGGGAGAGGCATCTCGTAGTGCCCATCCGATCTCTTCACAATACCATTCTCAAGGATGTTGAGGAATCTCCTGTCTTCAGCTGAACAGGGCTTGGTATTTGCAGAACTTTCTGTAAAGTCTGACTCAAGAATCTTAATAATCTTCTGTGGGTTGATAATCTCTTTCACCTTTGTCGTAAAGGCAAAGTGTTAATGGGTTTCTTTGACCATCACCTTGTTGCACACTCCTTCCTTATGGTTGGCTTCACCTGTAGATTTGCACACCTTGCCGATTATACCCCACCCCATTAAAGATCTTTGGCCGTAAGGGTCGTCTTCACCTCCCACTAGGACTTCTCTGGGTCTGACGATACTAGGGCAATTATTGCCAATCAGCAAGGAGATTTCCACACTTGGATTGTAGGGCATGAGCTCGTCAGCAATAGGACACAGATGTTCCCATTTCCGGGCAACACTGGCTTTTGGAATCTGCGACCGACTGGCTGGGATGATATCTCGCTTGAACATCATGGGTAGCTTCACAGCATGCTCCTTCTAAAATCCAACACCTCAACTCCACAAATACGGTTGCTTGGTACATGTACATTTCTCTCTTGCACTGTTGTCAGCAGCAAGTCGGTTGGTGGGCCTTGCAAGTCCAATTTTTCACACAAACTTTGCGACACAAAACTCACATTGGACTGGTCATCTAGCACTGCATATTGTAAGACTTCTTTACTGGGTTGGCTAACTTGTCTAACCCAAACAGGTACAATCATGGCATGATCCGAGCCGCCCTCTTGCTCTGGGATGGTACAAACATTTGTACAGTTCGTAATACTTTCCTTGGGAGTTTTCTGAATATGGAGACATGTAGGGTGATTTCCAGAACACGTGCGACATTTAAGTCTGTTCTTACAGGAGGATACTTGATGTTGACTGCTAGAGGCACATCCAAGACAAAGAAATTTCTTATAGAAGAAGTCTTTCCTTTCCTTGTGCGGCTTCTCTGCAAACTTTTTACACTCGTCTAGCTGATGTTCTTCCTTGCAAAACAGACATACTTCGGTCTTTTTCTTCTCGCTCCTCCCTTGCGAACAGGTTGGGGGTCTCTCTTTTTCACCTTGACCCTGGGCAGTCACGTTCTTGCTTGGATCCAATACATGAGTTTCGAAGGAAAAGGCCTCCTCGCCTTTTGGTGAGCGTCTGAATGGTCCTCTAGGCCTAACAAACTCTTTGGTTTTGGACAGCTCCTCAAGTTCGGGAATGTTCGCTCTCTCTGCACACTCTTTCACAAATGAAGCAAATTCAGAGAAGGTAGGGTAAGTACCATTTCCTTTTGAGACTCTACACTGTTGTACTATTCCTCTCCACTTATTCTGAATTTGAAATGGCAACTTGTTTAGAGTTTTAACGTTCTCCTTCGCAAAGTCTAAGACAGCAAGACTAGGAGTAGTTTCTCTGGCGGCAATTATCTTTTGCAGGAAGTCAGAAAGATCTCTTAGGGCCTCCGCATCTCTTACGCCAATCTTAGGCCAGTTCTCCAGTTTGTTCATAAAGGCTGTCCCTACTACATTGCAGTTACCATACCTTTCCTTTAACAACTTTCTCGCAGACTGATAGGCATCTTCAGTACCAATTAACATATACTGATCAACAACTTGTTTGGGCTTTCCTGAGATGTACTGATGTAGGAAGTTCAATTTTGTCTGCGCGTCCATTGGTTTGGAATCAATAAGGGCACTGAAGGAACTGTTCCATGTAGGATACTCCAAAGGATCTCCACTAAAAACTGGGATTGAAATCTTAGGCAGTTGCCCTGAGATTGCTAGTTGCCTGTTCACTAGGTTCTGCTCCATAGTAGCTGCCACCAACATACTACTTGTTTCCACTAATTTGTCCATACACTTTTCTAAGACGACAGAGTGTGGTTGAAAGGGTGTGGCACTGGGGCTTAACGTACTGTGCACTCCATTTTCTACACGCGGAAGACTGAAAGTGGGTTGGGCTCCATTTAACTGAGTTGAAGAGTAGATAGGTTCTTGCTGACCAGGAGAGAGATCACTCTTACTTGTGACTGGAATTGAATTAAGGAATTTGTCCATGTCCTTAACTTTATCAGCGGGGGGAATCGAGTTTAGATCCTGATCATCAAACAGTTCTACTTTATCTGCTGACATGCATACATTAAGCTTTGCTTGATTCTGAGCAAGTTCACTTTGTAATCTTAGCTCTTCCAACTTTCTTTCTTGTTCTAATTTGGTCAACTCAGTCTTTCTGTGTTCTAATCTCAGTAACCGTTCCTTCTCTATATAGGCCAGTTTAGCCTTTAAGGCAGCTTCCTCCTTTTGTAACTGAAACCTATCTTCTTCAACATTATCATTGGAACTTATTTTTGACCTACTACTTTTCTTGGATGCTCGACTGGACCTTTTGGATGCTTCAGAGATTGAATCATCCACGTGGTGTTCGACAAATTCCAGAAACTTTATCTCTGATCTAATGTCACACTCAAAATTTGACCATTCTCTGCCAACTTGATCAACCATTCTTTCAATATTTTCCACATTCTCATCTGGGTTCGCAAAAACCTTAATCTCTTCAACCATGTCTTGAAATTCGCAATACAAAATCTGAGCTTCGCTGAATTCTTTCTTAAATTCTACTAGTTTAGTTGACTGACCTCGCTTCAGTAGAGTACCTCTCATTCGCTTCACCAGTTCACATTTCTTAGTTTTCAAGTTACTTGTTTTCAAGTTGAGTTGATACGTATACCCTTTCTCCGTCAGGAAACGCTTCCTTGATTCATCAGTTTCTTCTTCCAGCGCCACATTGACCTGGTCTTCGGGTCTTGCTTCTTTGTTGACGGACATGACTGCTACACGAAGATCGTCTAACGATTGTTATTGTGGCTGGCCTCCCGTAGTACATACAACAAGAGGAGTTGCTAACAATCAACACGAACGTCCCAAACGTAGTTTATTCACAGGTCCTCGGTACAACACATTCTTTTTACTCCTTATTTCTTGGATCCTGAGTCCCGAGATAACAATCTGACATGACAAATACATGATAGGCTAAATACGTGATTCGTAAGTACTAAACTTCAAAATGTCGTGTGAAATACTCTCTTGGGATTTTCCGTAAAATGTTCTTTTAACAGTTCTTACCGTTTAGGCCGTATAATGTCCGATGGATGGCGATAACTATCCAAAAACTTGAACAACACGAGAAAGGGCTAAAATGGCGGCCGCTTACTAAAATCTGGTGCGGCTGCTAAGCTTTTACAACATACCGCTGACTGCGCAGCGCTGCAGTCACACCTAGTCTAAATTTGTTGGTGTTAGCAGAAGCTTAAGAGTTATTGATTTAAATAATCGTCTTTGGTCGAAGTCCAAACCATTAAACACGCAATGATATGTTAACTGACACTTTGTAACATGTAATGATTGATTGATCAGGATTGGTCCAATACAGCAAAGAAGTCGTAGAGTTCTAAGATATATAACAGTTTACGCGGCCAACGGAGTGCACAATAAACCGCGATTCGTTTGAACAAGGTTGTACGGAACTCTACGGCTGGATCGTTTGAAATGGCAGCTATCTATGGACATTACAACTTCTGGAACATAACAAGCGAGCAGGCTTTACAAGAACCTTGGCTTCGTCAAGAAAATGTCAAGCCTCTGGCGGTCACTAGTTCTATTCTCTCGATCGTCATGGCGCCCATAATAGTGGTTGGCAATTTGCTGGTGTTGTTAGCAGTTTGGAAAGATCCCCTTAAGAAACTTCGCTCATCACCCTCCAACTTCATTTTGGTCTCCATGGCTCTCGCTGATCTGTTAGTCGGTTTGGTGGTTTGTCCAATCACTGCGTATTGGCGCTGGGTAATTTTTGACAAAAAAACATCGCACTTTGGTCTTTCCGTTATTTTTGCCATCAACGTTTTCTCTGTGAATGTGAGCTTCGTCCACATGTTGCTGTTGACAGTAGATAGACTTTTCGCCGTGGTAACACTGCTCCAGTATCGTTGTAAAATAACGAATAAACGAGTGCTTGTCGCTTGTTGTGTTTGCTGGATGTACTTCGTGGCGTTCGGGTGTTCATTTCTTGTGTTTCAGGACTATTTTGTCATAATGGTAACAATCTACAACGTACAGCTCTTATCCATTCTCTTAAGAGTGGTTGTCAGAGAAAACCGGGCAAAATGTTAAAAATGTCAACGGAAGGGGGTCAACAGAATAAGTTCATACTAACACCATAGATAGGTTAGGTTGAGTAATGGACAAATATAATAAACATAGGTTCTTCACTGCTCTTGTATTAAAGATACGAGCATCACTTTATTCGACCCCCTCGGACGCCATTTTTATAAGCAAATTTTCACCATTTTCTGACACTCACAGAACCCTCAAAATTTAACGAGCGAAGTTTATTTTTTGTATGCGATACAACACATCATAGAACTACTTTCTAAAGCCATAAGAATTGTTAACCAGCCACGGACAAGACTAAAATTTTCTTATTTTATCTTACCTAAACTCAGTTTCTGCAAACGAGCAAAAAATCGGGCATTTTTGAATTGATCTACACCGCACAACTAAAACGACAGAACAACTCTGAAAGCCAAATTGCAGTCTACTATCATCCATGTAACCAAAACACTAATAATCATTTTGGGCCATTCAAACAGGAAGAAATTAGACAACTCACATTTGTTATAGTTTCCAAGGTTTTTCTTGCAAACAGGCCGATCCCTTCGTGTTTGTTTTAAGTCCTCTTCGTGAATATTCTTTCATATTTCGCTGTAAAGTATGTTCACCAGCTCGAGAACATATCAAAAAGCTCGAAATACTACCTAGGTTACATTTTGAAAGGGCAAAAAGTGCTGAACGACAGGATGAAACTAGAAAATAACAAAGCGACGCCATCTTGAAAATTCAGCACTCAGGAGGGACTGGCACTAGTAGCTGCCTTGTCCAAGTCCACAAGGTGATGAACTCGATGAATTACCAAATAGATAAAAAAACAAAAACAAACAAACAAACCGGCTTATCAGTTACCTACTACAGTCCTATTTCTTCTTCAATTACTAGTTTTAGTTAAATTGTCGTCGTTTTTTTTTTTTGGCGGAGTGATAGGGTGTGGTGAACAGGTGACCAATTGCCATTACTTTAATTAGTCTTTATTTACTCTTCATTCACTTCATTTTGAGTTATCCCGTATAAGGCTTTCTTTGGAATCTTTTTTTTTTCCACAGCTTTATTGGGTATTCCTCTTGTAATATACAATATAAATTTATAATACAACACACAAAAAAAAAAGAAAAGAAAAAGAATTTAGACGCAAAAATCCAAAAGGGGTAGGTGCAACGGGACTAACGTCCCATGCGAGGCACGGCCTTTATTCTATCATCTATTTTTGCGTGAGTCTTCAATCACCGTCCATGTCCGAAGGCCCACTCATCTCATGTTCCTGATTTCATGATGCACTTTTCATAGTCCGGAAGGCTTCGTCCGAAGGGTACCTCTTTCAAGCATCAGGTGTAACAAAGGGTAGGAAAATCACACGTTGAAGTATGTGAAAGGAGAGGAAAATCTTTCATTAAGTATTTTAAAGGGCCTTTTATTAAAATGCTTCGAAGAAACACGCCTTATGGCAATATCATTTACATGTTGTTTCAGTTAAAGGTTACACGAAAATGGCCCAAAGACCTCCTTTCTTACCGATTTATTCTTACGAAGCAGATATATGAAAAGGGTACAACTTTTCAATGGAAGATACACGAAAGGGATACCTTTTGTCAAAAATAGTATATATAAGGGTAAGGGACTGGACCTCGGGGCAAAGCCTCTCCGAGCAAAGCTTTATTGAGTAGCCTCCCACCCCCCTCCCCTTTTCCCTAGGGCTTTCCACAAGTTGCTCGGCAACTTTTGGCAACTTCTAGTATTTCGAGCAACTTTTTGTATAATTTCTGAGCAATTTCTCTCACTAGTTTTTTTCGAGTTCGGAGATATCTGAGCAGCTCTTACTGCTTAGCTTGGTCTTGCTTCCATATTGCACAGTGTTTTAGTAGACAATTTAGGAACTTCCTATGAAAAAGGAGCCAAATCCTCACCCCTTGGGGGGTGGGTGATGGGCACACGATGCAGCCGAGCTGCTAGGTCAGAGGTTTTTTTGAACAAAAAGGCAAAATGGGGGACTTCGATTCACACTAGACTGACACGAGTGTCTGAGGTGAAGAAGGTCATTCAACAATTTTAATGGCTCATAAGATAAATATGAATATTGATGTGTAGTCTTTACTCATACATTTTTGGTTTTAATTGTGGTTTGCCGGCTCCTGATGGCAACGCTAATTACGCTGCGAAATTGCAAAAAATTACGTTTTCATACTCTACCAGGAGCCATATATATCTAAATCGGGATAGTAGACCGTAACTGGATACCTTTTCCAGGGATGGGGTTGACTTCATCGAAATATCAGGGGCACCCAACGAGAAGATAGTTCGAAACCACTTAAAACATACCATTATTAAACGTATTTTAGTATATTTTATGGATCAAAACTTACCTTTTCGAAAATTTCAGCCAGAACAAAGGCTCATGAAAAATTCTAGGTGACCTTTTAAGGGTAAAAATCCGTTAAAAATGGGCAATTATACGTACCATTTTTTAGATGCTCGAAAATCCTAGGAGAGACAGGCAAGCAAGAAATTTTACAACAAATGTTCCGAAAATTCTAGATCGCAAATCGTCTTCCGAACAGATATTTTCCGAAAATTGTCGTTGGGTGCCCCTGAAATATATATCATAGCCATTAAATGTGCTATTTTTAGCACATTTTGTGCCATCTCGTGTGACTCGCGCGCGCATTTTTTGCAACAGCGCCGTGGAAAAGATTAACAAACGAAATGGCGTTGGAAATTACCTCCTTAGGAGATGAATAAATTCCATTTCTGTCATTATTGCCTCCTCTGAATTTAAGGCAAGACCTTGAAAATTTATCTAAATGTGAGGACTGCTTTTGTTAAACACCGTAGTGAGAGTGTTTTTGACAAATCCAGTGACGAAGAGATGTAGGAGATGTCAATTCTTTCACAGCTACACCAGTAAACAAAAAGGAACCCAGTGGCTGTAAACTTCCAGGTGTACGACTTCTATTAATGATCAATATGATGGAAAAGGTACCAACTCGAGTTAACACTCGGACCCCTTTTACAAATTTTTGAACGGCCAAAAACTTGCACGGATCCGCCTTTTCCTTACATGCAACCCGCGGAACCGTAAAGTTTTTGAGCTGCAAACAGTACTGCAATCTGTAAGAGAATTTGCGCGTTCCCTCTAAACGTGGCGTTTATCTTGTGTGGACCGTGCAAAGAGCATTCTGAAAAAGAAGTGACGGCACAAAAAACCATGAGTGGAAGGGGTACGGAGTGAGAGTCGTAAGAACTCCTTTGTACTTTTTAACAAAAGTTCCTTCCGGATCCCTCCGGTATACCAGATTCTGGTAAACGCTATGAATGGCTTATTTTGACAGCTCTTGTCAACATTCGAAGGTCTATTACCTTATGGAAATACGAAGTGACAGCGATGAGATCATCAGTTAGAAGGCTTACTTTCAAAAAAGTACTTCGTCCGCTGGCACTCTTGGCCGCTTTGCGGCCCAAAATGCCCGCTCCGCACACTGATTCAACTGCATGTACTATGTTTATTTTAATAAACGGTTGGTAATAAAAATTATTGCAAATTTTACAGCAAGCAATATCCACTGCCCTCAGTTAGCCCGCACGCTTCGAAACTCGCGAGGTTGATATATAGCAAGTCTAGCTAGCTAGCATGAGAGCGAAGTTAAGTGATTCATAAAGAGGCAAAATAGATCTTTAATATTATCTACATTCACCGGACACCTCGAAATGAGGAGGGAATGAAGCAATGCCAGTTAATCACCAATTTACCTGCGATCAGGCGTTCTTCTTGTTTTTTCCTTTGAAAGAAAAACAAGCTAAATCCAACTAAAAGAAGTAATTGAAGAAGAAATAAGACTGGCGTAGGTCGCTGGTAAGCTGGTTTGTTTGTTTTTTGTTTTTTTATCTTATTGGTAATCAGGAGCCCATATGCTCCTGGTGAGAGTTCGTAATAGCCCACGTTCGATAAAGAAAAATTCTAACATGAATCTGAGGCTTTCTGGTTACATTTCTATATTAGGTTTGGTTTTCTATGTGCTCGTGGAAAATTTGCAATTTTTGTCCGTATGTTTAGATATCGAACGCAGCTACTAGTGCCAGTCCCTCCTGAGTGCTGAATTTTCAAGATGGCGTCGCTTTGTTATTTCTAGTTTCATCCTATCGTTCAGCAATTTTTACCCTTTCAAAATGTAACCTAGGCAGTATTTCGAGCTTTTTGATATGTTCTCGAGCTGGTGAACATACTTTACAGCGAAATATGAAACAACATTCATGAAGAGGACTTAAAACAAACACGAAGGGATCGGCCTGTTTGCAAGAAAAAGCTTGGAAACTATAGCAAATGTGAGTTGTCTAATTTCTTCCTGTTTGAATGGCCCAAAATGATTATTAGTGTTTTGGTTACATGGATGATAGTAGACTGCAATTTGGCTTTCAGAGCTGTTCTGTCGTTTTAGTTGTGCGGTGTAGATCAATTCAAAAATGCCCGATTTTTTGCTCGTTTGCAGACACTGAGTTTAGGTAAGATAAAATAAGAAAATTTTAGTCTTGTCCGTGGCTGCTTAACAAATCTTATGGTTTCAGAAAGTAGTTCTGTGATGTATTGTATCGCATGCAAAAAGTAAACTACGCTCGTTAAATTTTGAGGGTTCTGTGAGTGTCAGAAAATGGTGAAAATTTGCTTATAAAAATGGCGTCCGAGGGGGTCGAATAAAGTGATGCTCGTATCTCTAATACAAGAGCAGTGAAGAACCTATTTTTATTATATTTGTCCATTACTCCACCTAACCTATCTATGATGTTAGTATGAACTTATTCTGTTGACCCCCTTCCGTTGACATTTTTAACATTTTGCCCGGTTTTCTCTGACAACCACTCTTAAGCATTCTTATAATGTACGCAGTTATCATGTTCCATTTCCATAGGTATTCAAAAACAAGAGAAAAAGAACAGCGGCATTCAATAGACAGTCGCCTGATGATCCTCAAAAGAGAAAGAAATCTCTTCAAAGCGATCGCCATCATCATCTGTGCATTTCTTATTTGCTACATGCCCTGGTTTATAGTTCAGCTATTGAAATATTTGTGTAAACTATGCCACCCTCATGTGGCATTACTTATGATATTCTTTGGATTTTCAACCAATTTAACTCACGCAAACTCCTTCTTGAACCCGATACTTTATTCATGGCGGCTTCCAAAATTTAGAGAAACATTCAAGTACTTTTGGAAAAACCGAAATTTTGGAAGACTGCACTGACAATTCAATTATTTTTTTTTTAGGTTTTTCTCGAAGAATCTGTCACTACTGTGTGGAACAACTTTTATTTTTGAAGATGCGGTTAGCAGTGCCGTTGACAACAAATAACTTTATGTTACGTTCACGTTTTGTTAAATTAGAAAGATGGATGAGTAGTCGCATTGAATTGAAGTCCCAAGACATAACTGCAGGCTATGTCTTGATGGAGAAGGAAAAGGTTTTAGGAGGAAAGAATAAGACATAGTATACAGTAAAATAGAAGCTTAATTACTCTCTAGTTCGAAAGCTTTAACTACTGCCGACATCAATAGGCGATTTGCTCGATGACGCCATTTTACTACTTCAATCAGAATCCTTCAGGGTTTTACTTTGTTGTGTAAACTAAGGCGCTTGTTATTTAAACCTCGTTGGGACTACGAAGATAAATATGAAAACAAAAACGAAAAGGATGCTGGTAGTAATAGTAAAATGACGCCATATTTGAACAACCTGCATGTCTGTAGTTTCAGTAGTGCTATCCTATCAATTCTTAAATTAAAATAACTCAACCGATTTCAGTCTTTATTGCAAGAAGTTTTTTTTCCGTATCTTAACGAATGTCCACAGTAGACGCTAACTTTCAGCAGGGAGTTTTGAGCGACGAACGTCAACCGGAAGTAATCCATTTTCTCTTTTAATATGCCTCGAGGCCACCATATTTGTAATGCTAGGTTTTTTTAAACTCTTATAGAGAAGATTTGTCCAAAAATGTGTTAAAATCACGGCTCAAGAGTGCAAAAAGTCCACTTTCGGTTGACGTGCGTCGCTCCAAGACGTCGCTGCTTAAACTGCACATTTTGAAAGTAAACACGTGAATCTTGGACTCTAAAACTAATCTGAATTATATATCCCGTCAATCCGTGCCTCATTTGTTCAGTTCTGATAGATATACGTGGGTGGAATGCTATTAGTATCGATTCTGTTTTCTTTGCCACGACACCATCATTAATCTAAACTGTTCGTTTTTAAGTCGTGCGTTAAAACACATGATTTACTTCTCAACGACAGTAAAGGTCACATTTTACATGTCATTTTCCGCGTAATGATGCTATAGATTCTGTTTTATTAAACGTTAAATAAAAATTCTGGATTTTGGATACATTGACATCTGCGTTTCTTTAAATGCCTTTCAAAGGAACAAGCCGTAAGTTGCTTTACTTACTCTTTGCCCGCTGGGATATGCCCGCCTGAGAAAACATTATTCATGTAAAACAGATATTGAAGGGACAATGAAATGTGCCCAACTATTTTATCTTTACTAAGTGTTTTAGGCCATTCATTTACTACTTGAATGTTCGCAGTAACTTACATGTACTTTAGCAATCAGGTGATGATTAAGGCCGTTTTCTGTTGTCAGCTAAGACTTTTGAAAAGAGGAAATTGTTTCGGCAGAGGAAATTTTGTTTGGGCGAGGCGAAATTTCATCCCCCGAAACGAAATTTCCTCTTTCCAAAATAATTAGCTGACAACAGCCAGAAAAAAAAATCCGTTTAATGACACGAGTTTTCGTGGCACGATGGCATGTGATCGTATTTCCATCGTTTTAATGTTATCGTGTGGACGGGTGAAAACGATTCTAATACGCTACCTCTGGACGCATATAGACGGAAAAAAAGTCTCCTTTTTCAAAAATACCCGGCTACGAGTAAACCAGGCCTAAGAAAACAAACAGCGACGGCGGGGAAAACGTCACGAAAACAGTGCCCTCGCGTTCGTTGAAACTTGAATTGAATTCCTAAGAAAAACTTTCAAGTTCAAAAGGACAAAGAGAAATTTGTCGTCGTTTGTTTACATTCTCGATAAAACGTGAAATCACACTGTAGTTTTGCAGTGACGGCAAAGAATTGTACAATGCTGTCATTGTTTCCTAATCTAAGTCCAGGCCAACTCGAATCCGGATAATTTTGACTAAACTGCGCATTTTTAAACACGAATGGGCCTTCCCTCGACACGAAACCAGTCAATACGCTCATCAAAACCGCATCTTTTGGAAACCGCTCTCCTGAGTGGTTTAAGGCAGGAATCCGGGTAACAAATATGCAGTTTTAAAAACTTCGGGATTGGTGTAGGCGCGGCCTAAACCTGCTGCGTTTTTGTCGTTCTCATCAAAACAAAAAACTTCCTAAACTTCCTAATGTAAGAGCTAAAACGTCGCAGGAAGGCACAGCTCAGGAGCTTGAACAGGCCAAATTTCAGTTTAAAACGATCTGCGGAAAGACACCTGACGTTCCAGGCAAGCCGTAAACACAAACATGAGTTGTATGTGGTTGTTGATAATATTTGATCATAGCAGTAAATTCCAACGGTTTGGTAGTCAAGAGGTACATTTCCCTTTATTAGAGAGCCTGCAGTTGTCTATTAGTGTATGAATAGTACCAAGTACTTATATAATAATTCAATAACATGCGTATTTACTTTGTTGGGCACTCACTAAGCTAGGGAGCATTTATTCGAAAACAAAAGCGTTTATTGCTAATGTGAATAAACTGCAAAATTTGCCTTTCGAAGTTGACTTAATGCACCGAATAACACCTAACCTGAGCAAAGTTTGAGCCTTTAACAATGTTTTCTAGTTTGGCAAGTTCCTTTTACCATTCGTGATGTATTCTCAAGATAGTTACCTGAGTGTAAAAATAGGAATCACGTGGATCACGTCAGTGTTGTTTTGGGAAGGAAGTCATAATGTGGTGGTTTTCCAGTTCAGTGAAATCATTTGTCTCACCGAAATCCCACTCCAGAAAGTACCTAAAGACTCAAAACCCGTAACATTTCCTATGGATTTTTCCACGAGGTAAGCTGAAGTCTAACTATCTACACTGAACTTTTCGGATGTTCAAACGTCTCCGGTCCAAAAAAAAAGATTGTTTAAATAAAACCAAAAGAATATTAGAAGCAAGTGAACAATATATCTGAGACATATTAAGTAATTTATTGTTTGTTTGTTCCGTGTTGGGATGGAAATTCACTACACTCATTGTGTCTAGCTGAATCACTTGACAAGATAGAGATAGCCGGAGAGAGCTCGTTTCCTCAACCTGAGCCGAAAGGTAAAACGAAAAGGAAAGCGAAACATAACATAAAAACTTGATCAGAATTGGGCAAACAGCAATGCTTTGAGTTTAAATAACTTGAAATCAAACGTCAAGGGTTATGAAGACCGGGTCAATGCAAATAATCGTTTTTCAATCAAAATGCAAATTGTTCAATTGATATTATTTAAAAAAGCTGAATAGGACTAGAAAATGTAACAGTTGTTCAGTAGAGAGTGTACAGAGCAGGCTCGGATCACGTCACGAGAGGATTGTGGTGAAGACGGAAAACACCAACTCCTGTCCACTTGCTTGTAATGGCAGCCGTTGTTGGTCATTACAACTTCTGAAAAGTTTTAGAAGGAAAAAATAAGACATAGTATGCAATAAAATGCAAGCTTAATTTATGCAATGTTAAATAAAAGAAAAGAAAGAAGTAGTTCTTCGGCTACCTGATTCCTGGTCAAATCGAAATCAGGAAGTGTTGGTTTTTAAGGAGTGGGGAAAACAGGAGTACCCGGAGAAAAACCTCTCGAAGCCAATAAGAGAACCAACAACAAACAAATTCTACCCACATATTGCGTCGACGCCGGGATTTTGAACCCAGAGCCACGTTGGTGGGAGACGATTGCTCTCTGAGCCCTGACACTGAGCCGCCCTTGCTCTGCGATCTTTGTTACTAGGCGGAAATCTATTAGTTACGTTAGGTTGATCTTCTTTCTTCTCCACTAATAAAAGACTTACCTTTGTAGTCTCTCAGTATGTGATCATCTCTGCGGTGCGTTTACATATATTGGGTCAATTACAGATCATAATGGTTTAATTTCGGTGACGTTTATACATATGTAGGCGGAGGGAGCAGTAACACACTTTTCTGTCAATACAGTTAATCACTACCGTTTTGGAGAGACACATCTTTGTAATGTTGCACCAAAGCAACTGTATCTATAAATACATTTAATTGTGCGATATATACTGTGCACTATGACGTCTGTGTAATGTTATAGTCATTTTTTTATCTCAGGTAATTTCTATTTTTTGTTTTGTTTCAACTTCATTAGCATGCATTACCATACCCCCCGAAAAAAGAAATACTAAAATTACTCGCGATAAAAAATTAACTACAACAGGAATGTTGCCGTTTTCCAGGCCAAACTCAATATAGAGCGTAAGTCGGTGTCACAGCACAAATGAGTTTTGCAAAAGCTTTCTGTTCAGATTTTCTTATAAGCACCCAAATACAAAGACTATAGACTATTCAAAGACTTCCTTTTAAAATTTCCTTTCTGTTAGGTCCGAGTGATAAACTAAGGCTACGCTCGCCTTATACTGGATAGCTTTTGTGCCGGCACGAAAACCCTAACGGATAGGGTTTACCCGTAAGAACGGTGATTTTGGCGCGATTTCTGTAACGGAGTGAAGATTCGCCGCGCTGCGCCGATCTCTAAAGTGGAGAGTCACATATCGGATAGCCTTTCGTGACGACAAGAAAAGGTATACGGTATGGTGTGAACATAGCCTAAGCCATTAATCAGTCTTGAATTTTTACTGACATGGCCCTAGTCATCAAAGGGGAAACAACTCAGCATAAGAAGAAAAGAAAAGTACAACTACTACAAAATACAAACACTAGCAATGAAGATGGTTGTTTTGAATAAGCAATTTCAAATGCGTTGATAGCACTGTGACAAAAGGGCCCTGATGATTAGGCCAATGTTTCGAGTGGTAGAACCTCTGTTACACTGAAGGGTACAACAATGGTTCTAAATTGTTATAAGGTTATACAGGCAATCTTTATTCCGCCAAATTAAATGGGAAATCACACAGGAAAAAAACTCAATTTTAGCATAATATCAAAGGTGAAATAGGAACTTCAAAGTTGTTAAATATTTTAAGCCAGATTGTGTTTAAGTGAAGTGTAAGCACAAAAAG